GGTTCAACTCTCCAATTGTGCTAAAGTCAAAGGTCAGCCCTCAAAGCAAGCCAATTGGGCTAAGGCCCAACCTCTCCATGTATGAAGAGGTATAAAAGCCATCAATATTCATTCACAGATTCATTCATTCATAGATTCTCATATATTCTCATATATTCAAGCAAAGCCTCAAGCAACTAATTCTCTTGCATAGTGTTCTTTCTACACATTGTACTGACTTTAGCATCGGAGGGGCCTTCCTCGGCAACACCCCCGAGGCTAGTTTACGTGTGTTTACTGTGCAGGAAACCTCCGGCCCAACATAACTTGGACCGAATCCAGTCTTCTCCGTTTCAGCGGACCTTCGGCAAGGTCCCATTGTTTTCACCCGAAACAATTTGGCGCCGTCTGTGGGGAAGACTTTCAAAAATCTTTAAGCCAAATTTCTAACCAAGATCATCTTGCAATTATCTTAGTAGCAATGGCTAAGAACCGCAAGAGCAAAAGCCTCCGTCAAGGAGCGGGCGAAAAGCCTAAAACCCCTACACCATCACCCTCGCCGGACCGGAACTCTCCCAAGGGTGCCAGCTCGGGGGGAGGATCATACAAGGAGGATTCCCTTTCTCCCGTAATTCATGACTCTCATTATAGGCCGAGTCACTCTCGGTCTAGCAGGGGTGAGTCCGATCATAGGACACATTCAGTGCCCCAAAGCCAACCATCGGCTGCGCGCCCTCATTCCCATACTCGGCCGAGGATCCCTTTGACGGGGCCCAGCTCGGAAGAGGTGGCAAGAGCGCTGGCAGTGCTCATGGAGGCGATGAGGGCACAAAATATGCCACCACCTCGTGATCGAACTCCTCCGCATGATGGTGGGAAGCTTCCTTCCTTCCGGGAACTGGAAGAGTGGGAAGAGGATTCCTGGAAAAATGAAAAAGAGAGGAAAAAGAACTCTCAATTTTTAAAAGGATCCTCATCCTCAAGACCAGAAGCGCATAAGAGCAGCAGCTCAGCTTCTCGGCCAGAATCTACTCACCGAGAACCTGAGACTGCTCGCCGAAGCGTCCTTGACCGACTCGGCGGCAAGGAACCGAGCGTGCGCAGTCGCCTCTCGTTCCCTGCAGCCGAGGCCCAGACTTCCCAGCCAGGGACGAAAACCACTCCTACCTCTCTAAGAGGGCGGAGCGCGGTCCCTTCGGCTAGGAACAAGGGCAAGGCCGTTATGCTACCCGCCAGTTCACCATTCGAGCAATGGATACTGGAAGAGCGCGTACCCACGGTTAAAATACCGTCGCACATCACATACGACGGGACCTCGGATCCAAAGGATCACGTGGCCTCGTATGAGACTCACATTCTTCCTGTATTTGGTCTTCGGGACGAGCAGGGGCTTTCCCTTCTCTGTGTCTGTTACTCTCTTCAGACTGTAACAGACAGGGGGGAGGAAGAATGTGAGTACAAAAAAAAAAAAAAAAAAGAAAAAAAAAAAAGAAAAAAGAAGAAAGACAAAGTTAAGTCTGAAAGCTCACCGAGGTCTTCAGCAAAGCCTCGTCTTCTTCAGCTGCCCTAGCTGCAGCTTCTTCTTCAGCAGCTCTGGAGGACCCTTCTCCTCCTTCGCAAGCTTCGAGAACCCGTGCAACCTCTTCGGCTGTACGGGCAGCTTCAGCTTCTTCGTCCAGCAGCTGAAACCAGGGGTCTCTCTTCTTCCACCAAGGCTTCTGCCTCTGATACAGAGCAACAACCTCAATTTGGAAGTGGGAAGAGTCTAGATGGACTTCCCTATGCCTCGGTTCAGTGATAGACGGGGCCCGATCAGTTACAACTCGTTCTCGGTTGACACCAAGACGAGCGTAGTTAATGCCAACGTTGGTCTCGTCCCGCTCTGAAAAAGAAAAGGGGAAAGGTCAGTTCAGATAGGTTGACACAACATAAAAAAGCGAAGCGAGAGAAGAAAAAGAGATAATTAAAAAGCCTCGGCCCCAGCCGAAGAAGCTTACCATCCTTAAACTTTTGGCTGAGGCCAACAGCTGCAAGCATGTTCTCTTGGAAAACATAATGCGTATCGGGGAGCCAAGTCTCCGGGATATGCTGCATTCGGCCACTGCCCCCCCCCCCCGGTTCGGCAGCTTACCGAAGATATGTTGTTGATCAAGGTTTGGATCCGCCCCGTTATCTGCGGGGGGACCTAGACTTCCCATTTCGGGATCAGGCTCAGCAAGGTACCGGGGAGCGCTGAAGACGCAAGGGTGGCCCGGATCTGTGGGTGCCCTAACCCAAATCCATTGACCTCTCCAGTCCTTGTCTGAAGAGTCGTTCGGCCACATGGTTAGGTACTGGGGTCGGGACTCAATCCGGTACCACCCAGAATCATGGCTTCCGTGCCCACTTTGAATATTTGGCACTAGCCGATGAAGCTTTTTGAAGCAGTGCAGGTTCGGCACATACTTGAAGAACTTGCAGACCCAAGTATGTCATCACCCTTCGGATGCTGGTGGGAGTTAACTGACATAGAGAGATATTGTAATGGATCAGCAAGTCTCGGACGAATACGTCAAAAGGGAACCTCAGCCCGTACTGAAGCTGTCTTGTGTACACCCCCACATACCCCGGGGGTGGACGATGGATTCTATCGGATGCCGCGGGCATTCGGCACCAATACCCATCAGCTTCAAAAATGCCGTAATGCAACTCAATTTGCTCGGCAAACCGATATTGATCGGCATTCTCCACCCACCATGAGTAGGGGCGGTTCTTTATCATGGTCGAAGCTACTTCGGCATTCTCCCACTCTGAAAACCCGGGGAGGATATCCCAAAGGACAGCGGGAACTTCATCGTCCCGTCCAGAAGCGCTCGGCCCCTCCGTTCTCTGAGGAGGAGCCGAGGAAATGGGAGTCGCCCTAATCCCTTCAGCAGGGTCAGACTCTGGCCTTTGTCCATTCCAGGTCCCAATCCTGTTCCTAGGATCGGGAATCGGCCTTGCTCTTCTTGGAGCACGGGCTCTACCTCTAACTCCTCTTGCCATTGATTATTTCGAAGAAAAAAGTCGAAAAAAAGGGAAGGAGTTCGAATTCGAAGAAAAATAAACTGAAATCAAAGGAATTTACCTTAATCTGAAGCGAAAGTTGCCGATTTACGAGTTTGTAGTGGCAAGTCTCAGTTTCTAAGCTTAATGCTCGGGGAATTTGCGAAGTTTTGATGCGGGTTCTTGGTTTCTCTCGAGAATTCTGGGTTTGTGTTGGTGAATAAGTGAGGAGAGATGACGCGCCTCTGTTTATATCTCCAGGAATGGGATACGGGGAGTCCGCGTTTCAATTTCTCTTAAATACCCCACTTAAGTAACCGTTAAACACATGATCTTGCGATTAAATTGCCCATTATCCGTCCAACTTCCACAATCATCCGCCTTCACCGTGGTTATCTCATTAATTACGGTTTAAATTCAAATTTTTGGATTAATTAAATCATTTACTTCCCTCCTTTTCTGAATTAAATCAAACCCGACCCGTCATCCTTCCAAATCGGGTTTGGGGGGCAAGTTGTTTGGGTCCAATTTAGTCCAATTGGGCCTAGGCATTAAATGATCCAATTAAAAGCCCAAGGTCAAGGTTCAACTCTCCAATTGTGCTAAAGTCAAAGGTCAGCCCTCAAAGCAAGCCAATTGGGCTAAGGCCCAACCTCTCCATGTATGAAGAGGTATAAAAGCCATCAATATTCATTCACAGATTCATTCATTCATAGATTCTCATATATTCTCATATATTCAAGCAAAGCCTCAAGCAACTAATTCTCTTGCATAGTGTTCTTTCTACACATTGTACTGACTTTAGCATCGGAGGGGCCTTCCTCGGCAACACCCCCGAGGCTAGTTTACGTGTGTTTACTGTGCAGGAAACCTCCGGCCCAACATAACTTGGACCGAATCCAGTCTTCTCCGTTTCAGCGGACCTTCGGCAAGGTCCCATTGTTTTCACCCGAAACAGGCTTAAATATGCCTTGTTGGCTACGAGTAACACGTGGGGAGGGTGGTGGTGGGCGGGTGGGTTGAATGGGGGGAATTCCCCGGGCTGGGGGAGGGGTGTATGTGGGTTGCGGGGTGCGACAAGGTGGGGAGCGCTGCTGGTCGCGCGATAGGGGCATGGCAGGGCTGCCACCAGCAGCGGGTGTAGGCAGGGGTGTCCGCGGGTTGGGCGCGGTAGTGGCTGGGGAACCGCAGGCTACCCGCGGACTGCACTGCTGAGGTGAGGGAGGGGAGTGCGGGGAGGGAGGGGGACTTGGGGTTGGGCTTGGTTGATGGGCTGGAGTGTTGGGCTTGTGGAAATGCCGCATCAACATATGTGTGAGAAGTGGAGAGGCTTCATCATGGCCCAAAAAATCATAGTCCCCAATCCAAAAATTACCCAAGTTTGAGTACGGGAATGTGGATTCATCAAAGGTGACATGCCTTGACAAAATAATTTGTTTGATGAAAGATCTAGACATCTATAGCCACGATGATTGGATGGATATCCTAAGAAGACACATGGAGCGGAGCGAGGAGCTAATTTATTAGGAGCGGTAGCGGACAAATTAGGAAAACAAAGGCACCCAAACACCCGTAAGTGATCATATGACGGTTGTTTCCTAAATAACGCTTGAGTTGGGGTTATGTTTTTGAGAGCTTTGGTTGGTAAAATATTTATGAGATAGGTAGCGGTCTCAAGAGCATAAACCCAAAAGTTTGGTGGTAGGGAAGCATGAAAAAGGAGTGTGCGTTTGACATTGTTAATGGTTCTAATCATGCGTTCAGCTTTTCCATTTTGTGAAGAGGTGTGAGGGCAAGAGAACCTAAACACCATTCCAATATCTAAGCATTGCTTTTTAAATGAATCATTGTCAAATTCTCGGCCATGGTACTTTGAAAGGCTTTAATGGGCCGTTCAAATTGAGTTTGCACATATTTACTAAAATCAACAAAAGTAGGAAAAGCTTGAGATTTGTAAGCAAGAGGAATAGTCCAAACAAAGTGAGTAAAATCATCAATGAGAACTAAATAATATTTATGACCATTAATACTGCGAATTTGGGAAGTCCACAAATCGGCATGAATAATATCAAAAGCACAAGTAGTATGACTAGTAGAATCATAAAAGGGTTGTCTAACATGCTTTCCTAATTAACAAGAATTGCAAAAATTGGAGATTGACTCCTTATTACAATGAATTAAATTATTGCTCCTTAGAAAATTAAAAGAACTAGCTCCAGTGTGACCCAAGCGACTATGCCAAGTGGTTAGGGTAGTGACCATAAGTGTAGAGGCAAGACATGATGATGGGATGGTGGTGGTGGTGACTGGATATAGGTCTCCCTCGCTAGTGCATCTCGTTACTATCCTCCCCGTTTGAAGGTCCTTCACAGAAAAGCCATAAGGGTCAAATTCAATAGAAACATTATTATCAGAAGTAAATTTGCGAATTGAAATTAAGAATTTAATGATTTGAGGGGCTAAGAGAACATCACGAAGGATTAATTTATTGTTTGGGAGGGTAGTATGACCATAACCCGTAATAGGAATGCGGTGTCCGTTGCCAACTAAAATATTATTTTTAGTGCTTAAATTAAATAGGGGCATGAGAGTACCTGAGTTATGAGTCATATGAGATGTAGCACCCGAGTCCATATACCATCCGTTGTCCGGATTAGGCAAAGTCATGGTTGAATAGGCCGAACCAAGCTCCATGGGAGTGTAAAGTCGTCCATATGGTGATGGACTAGCCATATATGCTTGCTGAGATGGGCCAGAAGTGAGTGAAGGCCCACTAGGGGATGATTGCCGCAAGGGTTGCCCAATTGGGCCAGGGATAGATGGATATGGGCATGGAGGGGTGGCCCAAGATCCAGGCCATTGTTGAGGCTGCCATGGATGGGCCTGATAGCCTGGCCAAAACGGTGGATTGGGCCACTGTTGTTGTTGAGTTGGGTCGGGCTGCTGTTGTGAGGTATTGTTGCTGGGCATTTTGTTTGAGGAATTCCCTCGCCCTTTTCCTCGACCTTTTCCCCCACCCCCTTTGGCACCAGTTCTGCCTCCACGTCCGCGGCCGCCGGAGCCACGAACACCCTGAAATGGCGGCTGCTGCTGGTTGTTGTAGCCTGAGGACGGTGCGGTCTCCTGCTGGGCGACAAAAGAAGATTGTGCCGATTGACCCTGGTCATTAGTGCGGCGGGACTCCTCAAGAAGAAGCCTCGACCTGGCAGAATTGAAAGAGGGTAACGGGTCGGTTTGCTGAATCATCGTTGCCACGGTGTCAAAGTCAGAGTTTGTGAGGCCGGAGACAAGTCGAATTACCATCTTCTGCTCCGAAACCGGTTGATCAATATTTGCTAATTGATCTGCGATACTCTTAAGTTGTTGACAATAAGCAGTGACATTAGAGAAATTGCTAATGTGAAGCAAATTAAACTGATTTTCAAGATACACGACCCTAGTGTTTTTGTTATCTTGAAAAATTTCTCTAATGCGATCCCAAAGGTTCTGAGCAGTTGATTTTGGAGCCAAAATCGTGTTGAGAAGATCGGTTGAGATTGTGCCGTATATCCACTGTTTAACAATTGCATCTAATCGCTTCCACAAGGCAGCCGAAACATCCGTCGGCCGGGAAACAGTCGGGTCTATGTGGTCTAACACATTATACGCACAAGCATGATTCTCAAATAACTCCACCCAATTGGAGTATTGAACTTTCTCATAGTCAAGAACGAGGGGTATTGCATTCTTGATGTTGTTCACTGCTAAAGCGGGGTGAAACTCTGACGTAGGGGGAGGTGGAGGAGTAGAGTCATCATCCTTTGCCATGATAACTCAATATGGCAGGGAACAAACCAAAAAGGTAAAACAAAGAAACCGAAATCACAGAGAACAAAAAAGCAGAGAACAATAAAATAAAGATGCGGAAGTTGATGTAGGCAAAGTCCCAAGAAACCAAAAAAAAATCCAATAATTGGAAAAATAAAATAAAATTGAGATCTAAAACCTAAGCTGTGATACCATGTTAGATTTCGGGAAAACTCCTCAATCTGGAGTGTGTACCATTGATCAAATATATAGAGTTTACAATGCTAGGCCTAATCACGTTAGGAATCCTAGATACGATAAACATACAAAAGATACATTTAATATATCCTAATCTGCGACAAATATTATCCTAAATATAATATCTATCAGATCACCTGACCCAAGGTAATAGGGAGATGAAGGATCGATTTTTGATTCGTCCACCATTGTAGATTAGAGAATAAACAGAGAAGATTAGAGCGAGCAGAGTAGAGAAGAATAGGAAAAAAAAGTTAGGGTTCTTAGAGTTGTATTAGCTCCGATACCATGTCACGAAAATATTTTTCCGTGGTTTTCATTAGAGTAAGGCAAGCGTATATATACAACCTAGCACATAAATTAGGGCACATGAAATAGGCCCGATAACTATACACTATACACAATAATAGGCCCTAACATCATTAGTCGACTGTCATCTTTTTCAATACTATCGAGAGATCACACGATAAGGAATCGAATATACCTCTCCAGGCTTCGAAGAAACGGTATCGTGTTCTACTCTCTTGTTACTAGGAAGTATCATGTTTCGGGTTATGATGATTTCATGGAGGATTTATATGATACAACTAAATCATCAACTTCTTGTTGGATGTAGTTGTATTGCTGCTATCAGGGTCGTTTTAAACAATTTAGAGGTCTTGTGCCATTAATAATGCTAAGTGATATATAGTTTTTAACCTATTACTGTTATTTTTCTCCATTTATTTACTTGTTAAAACATTTGAAACTTATGCTCATAAATTCATAATTATTAAGTTTATGTTGATAGCATTTCAATTTTGTAAGGTAAACTAAATAATTAACACATAAAACTTATACTCATGTTAATAAGTTACGATATATATGCTTTCAAAAAAAAATGTTAGGATATTGTTAGCATTTTATTTTTAAAGATTAACTACCTTATTTCTTATTATAATCTCATAGTTAATTAAGGCGAGCGTTAGCTTTTGAGTAGCTTTTAGGTAGCTTTTAGTGGTTTGACCAAGTTAAACCACTACTCAACAAAAAATGTGAGTGTTTGGCAAAGTAGTGGTTAGGGTAGCTTTTAGTAGTGGAGGTAGCTTTTCTGAAAAGTTAGAAACATTAGCTTTTGAAATTAGAGGTAGCTTTTCAGGTAGCTGTTGAAAATTTAATCTATAGTTTTAAAAATAAAAAATTAATTTTTATATTTAACAGCTAGTCAACCACTACTTTACCGAACACTCATATCTAAATTATTTATCTTCACAGCTAACAGTTTGTTGACAGCTAACAGCTACCTACACAGCTACAGCTACCTTCACAGCTATAATTTACCGAACACGCCCTATAGAGTACAACTGTTCCATATTTAAAATGAGATAACGGTTCCATTTATTATGCTTAAAGAAATTGAGATAATACTTATTAATAAGATATATATTAATAATTTTTTTCTTTGAAATTCGTTTAAACAAATTGATCCCACGCACTAACTTATTAAACTAAGGCCCATTATATATGTTACATTATTTTAAAATACGTTTTTTTGATGCCTTAATTCTTAGGATCTTTTACCGAAAGACTAATTTGACAAAAGTATTTACTAAAACGGTAATTATAAAATTTAATTTTCAAACTAGCTATTTTTTTTTTTAGGGAAAACGCTCAAAGAGCGTTAATTTTCATCCATAGGTAGATCAAATTTCAATGAATTAACAATACAAGACGGAAAATTCGATAACCAAACCTTACTACCTACACTCCATGGCAAGCAATGAGCTAGCTCATGAGCTACTTTATTACGGTATTACCCTCCCTACGAACAAAAGACCACGAAACCGACTCAAGAAAACCACTCATATGATAAATATCATCCAAGATCAGATAAAAATCACTCCTCTCAACATCTTGTGATACGATCGCATTGATGAGCCCAAGACAATCACTCTCCACCACTACCCTTTGAAAGCCGGTATTAACAACAGTTTGCAAGCCAAAGAACAGAGCCTTTGCTTCAGCAATCAATGGCTGCCATCGATCCTCTGTCACACGCGCAGCAGCGAACTGCACCTCCCCCTGCAATCACGAACCACCACCCCTACACAAGACCCTAGCCCATCACACACACCCCCGTCAACATTAAGCTTCACCCAGCCTTCATTAGGAGGCTGCCAACGGACTCGAACCCCCCCTGCCCGCAGGTGCCTTAATGCCATATCTTCAATCTTTTAAAAGAAGCTTTGATGTTCGCGGTTTCTTGAGCAAATAAAATGATTCTATGTTTAATAATTATATAACTCTAGTTGTTTATATTCAAGACTTGATTGTTTCTACTTGCTTTCTAAATTTTAGACTTTTATCTTATTGTAATGCACCTTTTTCTCCTGTAAATGCATTAGAAACTTTGGGCCTTCAGACCTTGGTATATTTCTATATATATGTGTTTTTAAAAAAGGTTTTTGGTTTTTTGTTTTTCTTTGGGAAAACAGATAAGCTTCTTTTATGAGCCTTTTTTTAAAAAAAAATTCTGATTTTATTTTTAAAAAAATCTATAAAGTGAACCAAACCGGTTCAAAGGAATATAAGAAATAGATAAATTCCTCCCAAGTTAATAAACTAGCTAATTTGGGAATTAATATTTATAATTAGCCGTTTTGGTAAATAATTTTGTAAAATTAGTCATTTTGATAAAAGACCCTAATTCTTATTTTGCCTAAGGCTCATAAAAGTCAAGAACGACCATGTAAAGGTGAACAATAGTTTATCACATAAAACTCCAAATTGAGTAATTTATATTCACAATATTTATAATGCATCCCACCAAATAGCTCTACAATCTATTATTAGTATTCTCTATCATTAAATAATTGTTGCCACAAAGTCAACATCCTCCACGATCACATTACACAAAAAAGTCAACTTGACTTTCATGCAAGTCTTCCCACTTTTCCATCAAATAAAATTACAACAACTAAATTACAATTTCAAACGTTTACATATTCAAACACTCTAAACATATATTAATCTCTTCAAACCTTGTAATAATAATTGTGCATATACCAATGGCAGGATTCACAGGGTTCCCTTTCTCTAACAATTTTCCACCCCCATACGGCTTCGCCGCCTCATCCTCCTCCTCCTCCTCGGCCACTCCTTCAACTACTCCATCATATGGACCATCATCTTTTTCTACCCCTCCCCATTCCTCAACAACCAAACAAACCAACGACGATGCAACAATCAAATCGATTGTTGAAGCCGTAGAAAAACTAGAGAAAACTGAGGGATTTCCTCCAGAAATATTGAAACAAATCAAACAAGAGCTAAAAAAGATGTACCCTAATATATCTTTTAACTCTACTACTCAAAATAATTCTCAAGGATTGGAGGGTTCTTCTACTACTATTAACACTAATACTGCTAATATTAATAATTACACTTTTCCTAATAATAATAATAATAATAATAATTTATTTATTAATAGCCAACAAGAGTTTTACAATAATTATCTTGCTAGTTTTCAACATCATTTGATGAGTGATCAACTTCAGGTGGCGCAAGCTCAGGCTCAGGCTCAAGTGATGCAACAATATTACATGAGTATGTTAGGAGTTACAGGAACAATGCCTGGAATAAGTCCTAATTATTGTGGTAATCCTTACCCAAGTTACAATAGTAACATAATTAATGGGCCTCAAAATGGTGGCACGACTTCGACAGTCGCGAATACGGTGAAGATGATGCTTGAGATGATGGGGAATAATGGTACCGGTGGACTAACTGGCAGTGCCGCCGCCATTGGAGGGATCGGAGCCACTGGTTTTGGAAGTGAAGGTTTTAGCGCCCTCTGGTAATTGCTTGTGTAATTAAATTAATTATGCACTTGGCTAATCTATTTTATTATTTGCATTATTATTGCTTAAAGTTATATATATATATCTCAAGAAAATATCAACAACATGCTTTAGTTATCTCTAGAGGCACATGCATTGATTTATGAAAGCATAATTTGCATTAATTTTTAATTTGTACACTTCAGTATTTTAAAATATATCTAAATTTTAAAAAATTCCCATTACCTCCATCCTATTTTCCCAAGACATAGTTTTATGTCTAAAATTCTGCTATTTTAAAAGGTAAATAGACAAATATTTTGAGCACATCATGTAAAAGAGATATATCACGTTATTGACTTATTAGTGTTTAGGCTATCTTAGTCAATTTAATGTTTACCTATTATAAGAACGATGATTTTACTTAATAAATCATACATGACTTAAGGATCCTTCTATCATCTATCACTTGGAATAAATGATGATAAAAAAGATAGAAAGATTAGTTTATATTGTACCTCAAGTAAACATATATTTTATGTAGCACAATATATATGTATATATATATGGCTAGAATGTCCTAAACGGCTAATCCTATATGTGCATTTTAACATTATATTTTGGTGTGAATTTGTGCAGTTTCCTTGGCGGCATACTTGGTGGCTTTGGCTTATGAATTACTTGAGTGAATGGACAATTTTAAATGTCATTTCCTTTCCCTCTCTTACGCTTTGTTTGGATAGCAAAGAAGGAAGGAAAGGAAGGGGAGGGGAGGGGAAAAGGAGGAAGGAAAGGGGAAAGAAAGGGAGGGGGAGGTGAGCTCCATCTTCTCCCCAAATTTCTTCAAATTTGGAAGGATTATGCTTATTAAAAGAGAAAGGGAGGGGGAGGTGAGCTCCATTATCCCTCTGTTTCCCGTTCCTTCCCCCAATCTTTTACCCAAACAAGAAATTTGTCTCCCTCCCTTTCTCTTTTCTTCTTTTCCTTCCATTTCTTTCTATCCAAACAAAGTGTTAGTGAATGTAATGTCCGCAATCTCATTCTTTTCTTTAATCTTTACTCAAGATAGATTTTATTAAATTTGAATTTCCATAAAATAAGCTTTCTTGGAAATTATACAATGTTATTGTTATCTTGTGAAATGGAAGGCGTGTTAACTTTTGTTAGTCTCAAATTTTTATATACGTAGTATATTTTTTGGCTCGAATTAAAGTTTGATCGATGATTTTCATAAATCTCTCTAACAAAGGAGATGATTGGTTTATTAAAAGGAAATTTAAGGAAATTTTCTTTCCCTTTCATTTTGCTATATGTCTTTTCTCACACAAAGAAAATTGTATTACTCACTTTCCCTTCCCTCCCTTTTTTCTCAATTTTTTTTTTGGGTAATGCTATATGCATTCCTTAGGGCTAAGGGCTGCATATAAGCATTTAATATATTCCATTTTTAGTATTAAGTTGGGAATTTATTAACAATTTACGAGTAAATCGGTGTAATGAATGTATATTTAGGGTAATGCTATACATAGCCCTTAGGGCTATATATAAGCATTGAATTTACTCTTGGAAAATTTATAAAGTTAGGAATTCATGACAAAAACACGCGCAAATCGGTGTAATTAGTGTGTTTTTGTCATGATTTTCTAAATTTAAACAATTTTCAAGAGTAAATTAAATGCTTATATGTAGCCCTTAGGGCTATGTATAGCATTTTCCTTTTTTTAATACCATGCACATGAGTTTTCAATACAACCAAGTAACCAAAGAGAGTTGATCATGCATGTCTAAACTAGCCTAGCTCAAAAATTGCTCTGGAAAAAAATTATCGGGGCCAAAGTCAAGGCTCGAGCCAACCCACCTCCAATTATTATTATTTTTTTCACTTTTGGACATCTTAAAATTTATTATTTTAGTTATTCTTTTAATCATACTAAAATAAATTGAAAATCGTGCTCTTTTTGACTTAAAATAACAGATTTAAACTTTAAGCATAAAAATTTTGGCCCAAAAATATTTTTGGCTTGAAACCCTGAAATCGGCCAACTTTATTAACCCGTCTCGTGATAGGTCTTGATAGCTCTTCGTAATCTTGATATCTCAATGAGTCAATGTTTGTTGACTTTGAGAGTTTACAAAAAGCAACTCAATTTCAAAACATACACATGTTAGTTTTTAAAAATACCTTAACTATATAACTACTGCTATCTTCAACATTAATCAAATTTAATTCCTTGATGAACCAAAGTTCATTGAATAATCTCTACAACTTTTGCCAACTTCTAAAATCATGCATTGCTCAAAGAAATCTATTAACAGGCAAATCTCTTCATACCCTTTATATAAAATCTATAATCCCACCTTCAATCTATCTTTCCAATCACTTCATCATTCTTTACTCAAAATGCCGACGCATTTCTGCAGCGCGCAACGTTTTCGACGCTATACCATACCCAAATGTCTTCTCCTACAATGCAATTATTGCTGCATATGTAAAAGAGGGTCAAACCAGGATTGCCCACCAACTGTTCGACGAAATTCCTGAACCAGATATTGTGTCTTTTAATACCCTTATTGCTGCTTATGCTGAACGAGGGGATACATGGTCTGCATTTAGACTTTTTGATAGAATTAGGGAGATGGGTGTTGAAATGGATGGGTTTAGTTTGTCTTCCATGATTTCGGCTTCGTGTAATGATGTTTTATTGATTAGAGGGTTGCATTGTTTGGTTGTTAAAGGAGGGTATGCTGCTTTTTATGCGTCTGTTAATAATTCTCTTGTTAGTTGTTATAGTAAAAATGGGTTTTTGGAAGAGGCTAAGAGGGTGTTTTGTGAGATGAGTGGGAGGGAAGACGAGGTTTCGTGGAATGCTATGATCGTTGCGCATGGACAGCATAAGGAAGGAAAGAAAGCTCTTGAGATGTTTCAGGAGATGGTGAAGAGGAATATGTATGTTGATATGTATACTTTAGCTAGTGTACTGACTGCATTTACGAGCTTAGAGGATCGGTTTGGTGGTCTTCAGTTTCATGCTCAGCTGATCAAAATGGGCTTTTGTTCGAACCCACATGTTGGGAGTGGGCTGATTGACTTATATTCTAAATGTGGGGGGAGTATGTCGGAATGCAGGAGAATATTTGAGGAAATTCCAGAGCCTGATTTGGTTCTGTGGAACACTATGATCTCTGGATATTCTCAGTTTGATGAATTATCTGAAGAGGCTGTTGCGTGTTTTAGAGACATGCTGCGAATTGGTCATCACCCAGATGATTGCAGCTTTGTTTGTGTCATTAGCGCATGCTCAACCTCGCGTTCCCCTTCTCATGGAAAACAGATTCACTCATTAGCTTTGAAGTCTGACATACCATCAAATCGAATAGCTGTAAACAATGCTTTGGTAGCAATGTATGCAAAATGTGGAAATCTATATGATGCAAGGCGGTTGTTTGATAAGATGCCAGAGCATAATGTTGTCTCTATAAACACCATAATTGATGGTTATGCTCAGCATGGGTTTGGGAGCGATGCATTGCAGCTTTTCAATTGGATGCTTGAAACTGATTATACACCTACGAATATAACCTTCATATCTGTTCTTTCAGCATGTGCACATACAGGGAAAGTGGAGGAAGGCCAGAAATATTTTGACATGATGAAGGAGAAATATGGGATTGTTCCTGAAGCAGAGCATTACTCTTGCATGATTGACATGCTGGGTCGGGCTGGGAAACTACGTGAAGCTGAGCAGCTGATTGAGTCAATGCCGTATAACCCAGGTTCTATTGGCTGGGCAGCTTTGCTTGGGGCCTCCAGAAAGTATGGCAACATCAACTTAGCTATTAAGGCGGCCAATCAATACCTTCTGATGGATCCTTCAAATTCTACTCCATATGTCATGCTAGCAAACATGTATGCTGATGCTGAAAGATGGGAGGATTATGCAAAGGTCAGGAAGCTTATGCGAGACAAAAATCTTAGAAAGAAACCAGGTTGTAGTTGGATTGAAATAGACAAAAAGATTCACACTTTTGTTGCTGAAGATGCTTCACACCCTATGATAAGAGAAATATATGATTACTTAGAGGAGATACTATTAAGGATAAAGCATGCTGGTTATGTGCCAGATCTACGATGGGCATTGGTGAAGGACGATGGAGCAGGAGATGCAGTAAAGGAGAGGATGTTGGTTCATCACAGTGAGAAACTAGCAGTTGCATTTGGGCTTCTGTCAACTAAAGACGGAGATCCTATCCTTGTAGGAAAGAACCTAAGAATATGTGGTGATTGTCATAATGCTATAAAGCTTATTTCTGCAGTCACCGGAAGGGAGATAACTGTCAGAGATACCCGAAGATTTCATTGTTTCAAGGATGGAAAATGCACATGCGAGGATTACTGGTAGCACTTGCCAATATTGTTACCTTCTTGCTGTTTAGTATAATGGCATTTAATTTGAAATTTCTACAGCAACATTAATATTCGATTATAAGGAGAATCTTCTCTTATTGGCTGATATTGTGCCGGTTACTGATTTAAGGTAAAGATATGTTAACCAGTAACATAATTTATTTGAAATTTACATAAGCAGATAGTTTTGACACATATAGGGGACACAAGCTTTAATTCTGTGTCATTGAAGTTGAAATGCAGACCCTTTCATTGCAGACATTCAAAAAAAGAAAAATATACGAAGTATATTTTTAGCTTGCCTCGGCTTGCTTTTACCTTTTTCTTGTAGTCCATCTTCCTAGCCTTTGAAGTGTGACTTTCCTTGGCTGGCCTACATCAAGTCAAGTGGGATTAAATATAATGAGCACTGTCTTCCAATTCAAGACTTCATTTTTGTCATTTTGCTCTACTTTTACATGCTAACATGGTCCAAGGTTGTACTGAGAATTTCAGTGCTTTATAACCAAATTCTTCTTGTTTAATTTCCAGTTGGCAACTCTTCAGTGACCCATAGCCTCCTATTGATTAGCTGATTATGTAAAAATTAATTTGCTAAAAGCTAATTATAAGTAGAATCTTTGATGAATGAAGTCATGACATATAGGTTTTTGAGGATTAGCCCTCGAGAATTGATATGAAAGATTCCTGCTATCTTTGTATTCAGTTTTTTTTGCGGTGTGGCAAACATTGTTGAAGTAGTTTTGTGTTGACAGATGTATGGAGATTGGGGAGCAAAAGGCTAACGGGCTCTTCTGTGTGTTGTACTTGGAGATGAATTAATTCTCATATTTCTAGCGAGTTCAATCACTAGAGATAGCATTATAGCATTGTTGGAGATATTTACAGGAGCTGCATGCCTACACCCATGTTTACAGCAGAAGGGAAAGTGAAGCAGGTTTATTGTAACAATAGACAAAGTATTTACTACCCTGGTTAGTTCCTTACCACTCTGGTTTGTTTACCAAGTAGAAAACATATTTTAACCTCAGATTGCTTGCTAAGTTCAGCGGTGTGTCACCCATGAAACCTGTGAATATGTTTTAAGTGTTTTTAGACATCACTGAAACTCTCAATTTTAGATAGAAGAATAAATGAACTCAAAACGAGGTTCTTCAGTTTGCATTATCTTGGAAAGAAATCAAAAACCTGATTATGTCAGCCTGTCAGGTGTAGTTACTGGACGGTCTACGCAAAATTAGTACAGATATTAGAATTAAATGAAAGTTTGAAAGTCTTTACTAATTAATAGGTTACGTCTTGTAAAATGTTATATACTGGCACATTTAAGCTAACTAGTAACTTCTGTGCTTATCTTAAATACTACGTAAATTTTGTTAAAGAGGAAGTAACTTGTGTGCTTCAAACTTGAAAACAAATTTTGCTGAGTTTTATGATAGTACGAATTTAGTTGATGGATATTGAGTTTTGTGAAAACGAAATAAGGTATTTATAATTCCTTTCAGACTGTAGGAGAATATGTCCCAGGAGCATAATCCTGTTGTAGGCGAAGGACCTCTGGAGACATTAGTCAGAATTACTTTTGCATTTGTGGATTCCATGGCACTTAAATGTATTGTGGATCTTGGCATTGCTGACATCATCCATGCCCATGGCCATCCAATCAGTGTATCTGAAATATGTGCCCATTTAAAATCCCACCCTCCCAACTTCAGGTGCCTGAAACGTGTCATGCAGATTTTGGTTCATAGAGACATCTTCACCACTGTTAATGTTAACCCCACCGAATTCAATGAAGATGACACCCTTTATTGGTTAACACCAGCCTCTAGGCTACTGTTACGACATGATGATGATGATATAAGCTATGCTCCTATGATTCTTATGCAGAATCATCCTCAATTATTAGCCGCGATGCACCATCTCAGCTCTGCCATCAAAGAGGGTGGAATAGCATTTGAGATGGCTCATGGACATCATATTTGGGAATTTTTATCTAGAGATCAAGAAGTTAATAGGGTGTTCCATGATGGGTTGGCATGTACAGCAAAGATTGGGTTCAGGGCTATCACGTCACTGTATAAAGATGTATTTGCAGATGTTAAATCGGTTGTAGATGTAGGAGGGGGAACTGGTGCAGCTGTAAATGAGGTTGTGAAGGCCTTTCCTAATATCAAAGGCATCAACTTTGATCTGCCTCATGTTATTGCCATTGCTCCCAAGTATGATGGAGTTGCTCATGTTGAAGGTAATATGTTTGAGGCCATTCCTGATGCTGATGTTGCAATCTTGAAGGTAAGTAACTAAAACTACTCCATATTTGTATAACAATATGTATTTTTTCTATAATTTGAGGATTGAATAGTGTTTGAGAAGACTCACGGTCCTGCTTCCAATGCAATATATTTGTCCAATCCAAAGTAGTAGCTGTTCTACATCAGTTTCACTTTATGACATCAATACAAAATTACAGACTTCTACAAACTAAATTAAATAAATCTAAGAGTATGTTGTTCATTCTATTAATTGCTGTTGAAATGGCGCTTGTGAATCACCCAAATTGCTGCCTTTTTTTATTTGTTTGGTAGCAGAATCAGCAGATGCTCAGTGTACCTGACAGGTGAGCATTTACTGATTCGGGTGTGCTTATCTGTAGAAATTCATATAATCTCAAAACATTTAATTGGATGTATTTATGAATAGCTTCATTATCAAGTACGTTTAACTATCTCTATTCTGTCATTCTGGTGTTGCAGTCAATTCTTCATGATTGGAACGATGAAGATTGTGTAAAGATCCTGAAGAACTGTCAAAAAGCAGTACCAGAAAAGACAGGAAAGCTGATATTGTTTGAATTAATACTTCACAAAGAGGGGGAAGAGTCAATGGAAGGCATATTACTTGCATCAGACTTAATAATGATCGCGCATACTGGCGGGGGTAAGGAAAGGACAGAGCCTGAATACAAATCTTTGCTACAAACTGCAGGATTTCCTCGTTACAGACTACTCAGTAACCCTGGAATACCATCTATCATTGAAGCTTTTGTAGAATAAGTAACTACCAACTCTTTAGTGTTAGAGAATAATGGGCAAACCATATATATTTTCATAATATAAAAGGCTTCATTTACTACATTATTTTTCTTAGAAACATTTCTCTTATGTATTGATTAGTGATTTCTAATTTTCTACGACAGGTTTCTAATAAACTTCACTAAAAATTCTGCCTAGCTTCACATTGAAATAAACTGCATTTGAGTAAATTAATGAAATGTGATGTACTCCATATTGTTTTGTGATAGAGACTTTCTTTTTAGAAAATTTCTTCTCTTTAGATTGGCTGAAAAACTCAGAATTTTCTTCTCTTTTGATTACTGTTGTTGTGGTACGTCTTCGTTCTAATCTTCACTGTTTTCTTAGTGAATTGCTATTTGCCACAATGAAATTACTCAAACTATAGTATTAAAAGACTTTTATACCCCTTATTATTTTGAAAATAACATAACAATCCAACCATTACTAACTACTAACTTTGTCCTACCTTGACCATACTCAAGCCTTAGCTCCACATTGACTATCAGCTCCGCCACCCATGCCACCACCCACCTTGACTGTCCACCACCACGACTCCACCTTAACAACAAACTTGACCGATCCCACAACGGTTGACCACTAACATCGTACTTTCCGTCCAATAAAATGAGTCGACGATTGTCTTCGTTCATATCGGAGGCACTTGGTGGGGACGACAAACCTTCGACGTCGTCGAGTCAAGTATATGTCGGACTTTTTTTTTAATTTTCGTTGTACCCGGTCGCATGCTATATGCGACTACACCGCGGTATAGTCGCATGCAATATGCGACTACACCGCAATATGCGACCACACCGTGGTGTAGTCGCATGTAGCATGCGACCGGGTACCATTAAATTTTTTTTTAAGCAAATCGTTTAATTTATACTAATTAACTTTTAATAATTATTAAAAATAACAAAATACAATTAATTTAATTAGTAAAATTCATTGATTAAAAAAATTAGTAATTTTTTTTTTTTTACAACGAAAATTAGTAAATTTATGGGCTTAAACAAATAACAAATTTACCAAAAAAACAAGTAAGGGCAGATGCGTCATTTAATACCGCAACATAAGTAATTCTATTGTGGCATTTAGTAACCCCCTTAAATAATCAAACCTTTGTATACAATCCGCTTCCAATGGTCCCAAGCGACTTGAAACCAGCTAGACAGGTTATCATTTGTGACTTTGAGATTATTTTCACACGTGTCATCGCGTGATTGGTCTAATCCAAAAAACAATTTTAAAAATAATCAAAAAATAATAAAACAAATTATTTAAAAATAAAATTAAAAAAAAGAAAAAAACCAATGGCCACCCTCGATCTCTCCGGTAGACCCACCGCTGAAACCACCTCCCTAACTCAGCCCACCAACCGAAACCAATTCCTCTACACAGCCACCAGTCGAAACCACCGAAACCAACGACCACTAGATGTGAAAAGTTTGCAATTTTGGGGCTGATTTGTGGGCATTCAAAGCAGCTTCTCTAGTTTATGGTGTTTGCCGACAATTGTTGGTGCACTCGTAACTAGCTAACCCGTAGTCACATACCATAAGAGGGTGTTTGAATGTCACGTGCCGACACCTTTCCTTTCTTTTCTCCCTTTTTTTCTCCAATTACTTTCTCTCTCCTCAAGACCATCAAACCATAACCTAGCCAACCCAATGGTGAAATATTGCTTTGGCTACATTGATTTCGAGGAGCAAGCAGTTCACTTCCGATTAGAAGCAATGCATCGAACCCTTAACACCTTCTACCTCCAACTGGTAGGCTTTGCTTTTGTTTTTTCGGGGATTGTCAGCTTGTTCAAGCCTCCCCTTTACACTCCAAAACCTTATACTCATCTATTGAACAATACGTTTATATTATTTTGTTTTTAATGGTAGCTTATATAGTTTGCAACCAAATGATTGAAGAAATCCCCTCTAATTGGCATACTTTCCGTATCATTTTATAAGTTTTCAACGATTCGGTTATTTTTCAAATCAGTTCAAAACAGTCGGGTTTAATGATTAGGGTTTATATCTCTATGAATGATACTCAAATACATATCAATTCTATTAAATATGTAGCATTTTGGCCCGTTCAACGAACGGGTTGTAGCTCAATTTATTTTTCTTGAAATGTGTTGCTTATTTGTGTTGTATATGTATGTGATTTTTTGTCATAATTTGCTTAATTTTTTACTTATAATTTGCAAGTTAGGAATACATAAAGATTTTAACATTAAATAATTTGTTATTTTAATTTTACATTAAAAGGTATAGAGAGGAATACACCTTTTTTTTATATATAGTGAAAATGAAACACTCCATTTTCTTACTCAAATTCGCAAAAAGACTTTTAGCATTCAATAACATTTTATTTTATCTTTAACTTTAAAAGGGAGTATAAAGAAGAAATATTAATGGATGCATAAGGTGTGGCATATGGGTGAATTATGATGACATGTGTGTTATAGGTGATTGTGGTTTGTCTTTTTAAATACTAAAGTATAGATATACATATAGATTAGATATGTTATGAATTTTTTTATGTCAATAAAAAAATTAAGATTTGTTTTGATTGAATTTATTTGTTGGTTATAATAAAATTTTAAAAAAATGAAAATAATAATAAAACACTAATTTGATTTGTTTTGATTTTATTTGCAGGTATTCTTGTCATTTTGAAAACACTAATTTATATAAGTAGCATTGTAAGATTAATTTGACAATTATTAACTTGACAATTTAAATAAGTAGCATTATAAGATTTATAGACCATTATGGATTCATTTGTATGATTTTTTCTCTTCATTTGTTCTTTATTATAAATTTTTTTTTCTTTTCTATTATAAAATAATCAAAGTATATACTATTAAGGAATAATTAGTAATTGCTATAATTCTAATTATTCTGAATTTTGATTACTAGTTTTTCTATTTTTACTCTAGTCAATGATCATTGTGATTAGTTTTACCTTTTTTTTCCTTAATCTATACTACATCTAATTTTAAACACAATCATACTTTAAGTGATTTAATCTTAGCTATTTAATGTGATCCATAACGATAACCTAAATTCATTATATGAGCAATATCAATAACTATTACTACATATTGAAATTGTGACTTAATTTTTAGAATGAAAAAAAAGCGTGATATAACGATAAGTTTCTTTAGCCCAAAATTCATCCTCTTCCTCCACAAAACCAACCACTTCCATCACAAAATCAATAACTATTACTACGTATTGGAATTGTGACTTAGTTTTTAGAATGAAAAAAAAGTGTGATATAACGACAAGTTTCTTTAGCCCAAAATTCATCCTCCTCCTCCACAAAACCATCCTCTTCCTTCACAAAATTATCCTCCACAAATTAAAATTCACCTCTTGGATCGATAGGTATGCCGGTTACTGAGTGAATAAAATCTTGAATCCGCCACTGCGTACACTGACAATTCTCCTTAGTTTTTTTTTTATTTTTTTTGGATAGGAATACCCCTCCTTAGTTTATAATATAATTAGTGTGAATTAGAGGTGTTAATTCGGATAACCGGATGGAGTTTGGGTTGGGTTTATTCGGGTTACGCCTGTTCGGATCAAATAAGTTCGGGTTAAAATAAACTATTCTTTAATTAGGATCGGGTCAAATTCGGGTCACGGTCAATCGAGTCCGGGTTGGATATGAGTTGGATCAATTTCAAATCGGTTCATGTTTGGTTCGGATAAATTCAAATTGGGTGCAAAACGGGTTTGACGTGGTATTTTAGGTCGGACGAATTTGGGTTGGGTTGACTTCGGTTTGGATGATTTCTTGTTGCCCCGACCCCAGCCACCACAGCCTACCGCAGCTTTGGGTGCCGGTCGGGGCAACAAGAAGGGGAAAGGGGAGGGGGATGGGCTGCGTTGGTTAGGGAAAGGGAGTGGGATAGGGTCGCAGGCGTCGGCCGCAACTTTGAGTGTTGGTCGGGGGAGGGTGGCTAACGGGTGGGACTATTTTTTTTTCTAAAAAATAAATTCTTTTTTATTTTTTTTGTGGGGGGGGGCTGACGGGGAGGCACTTTTAGGGTGGCTAAGGAGGGAGTGGTGACCGGAAGGTGGTAGTAAAGGTGGTTGGATCTCACTAACGGAATTACTAACTGAAAGTGTTAAGTGGCACGAGTAGCAATTTTTAACAAACTTGCTTTTGGATGGTAGTAAAATAAAATAAAAATTTTCCCATGTACTACGTAATGCTTAATAAACTTCATATATGATCGATTTTATCTAGGTTGAAACTAGTGATCTCATGAACTACTTTTATTAATTAACCAAGGAGTTTAAATGAGCCGATAAGCTTAGACATACTATCAGTCTTAATATCTGAGCATTAAATGACGTACTACGTACTTCATAAGATTAAGTTGTCCCTCTCCGCTGAGCCGATTAGCTTAGACATACTATATTACTATCAGTCTGCTCCCTGCTGCCCCTCTCACATTTACCATTCTTATGCTTCATTTTTCTGACTTTTTTTATTTGGTAAAAAAAAAAAAAGGTATTGTTTACATAATATTACTCCCTCTATTCCTAAATTACATTTAGGGGTCGTTTGGTTCACAGAAGAGAATCGGAATGGAATGAACAACGTGAATGAAATGGAATGGAATGACAAAGTGGAAAATTTGGAAGGTTGTTTGTTACAAAAACCAGGGAATCATTCCCTCCACCACAGCACCACCACCACAGCGCAGCTCCGACCGCCGCCGAACCCTCACAGAACTCTGCCGACCGTCTCCGACCCATCCCCGACCGTCGCCGACCATCCAGCCCCCATCGCCGACCGTCGAACTCCCTCCCCGATGCTCCAGCCCCCCTCCCCGATGCTCGAACTCCCTCGCCGACAGTCCCGCCCCCCTCGCCGACGGTCGCTGACCCCTCGCCGACGGTCGCTGACCACCACCGACCACAGCACCACCTCGAACTCCCTCCCCGATGCTCCAGCCCCCC